TTATTATGCTAAATGGACAAGGGCAGCCAGGGAGGACTTTAAACTCTTTCTCCTGGTGGTCCCAGGCTGGGTTTCAGGGCAGGGGCTGATGAGTACTCAGAGGGGCAGGCCTGAGCAAAGGGTCTCCATAGCCATCCCATTTGGCTTACTCAATTATTTTCATAAGTATTTTTTTTTTTAAGTTGGAAGAAAAGTGTGGACTTAGAAGGACTGCTGAATACCTGTCACTCAAACTCTCCCCACGCTGATCCTTCCAGTGCCAGGCTGTATTTACTGGCCAGAGATGCCCCAGGCCAGAGGCTCTCCAGCCTGGCGCTGCCACAAGGAGAGCCGGCCTGCACCCAGCGCAGCTCGGGCCTCTCTGACGCCAAAGGAGACTCTGAACTGATACGTTTGTTCTGCTTTTACTGCCGCATTTTTTTTTTTTTTAAGAATTGCTACACTAGAATGAATGGATTATGAGTCAATAAAAAGAAGCTGTCAGTCTCTTTGAAGGTTGTGTTTAAAGGGACTTGCCAAGTCAGGACAGAAGAATGACAAGATAGAGACCCTGGTGTTTTACATGCTCAGCCCTGCTCTTCCGCTTCATCTGCACCGCACTAAAGGATGTGTTGAAGCATTGAATCACAAGAAAAGTGGCACGCAAAATAAAAGGTGCCACATCACAATGATTGTAGTGTTTTAACTGCGGAGTGCCACATTACCCAACCCAATTGCAACGCAGGTCTATACAGCCGAAGAAAACGGTACAATATTTACAGAACTTATCATTAAGTTGAAGTCTGCCTACCATCTGACTTTCTAATGAGTGTAATGAGATTACATGCCTGATGGAAGCATTTGTGCAAAAGCAACTTTCGTGTTTAATGAGGCCCTAATACAGGACAAAATTGAATTATTTTCTCTCCTTCCCAAATTCTGTCCCCAGTGTGAAAGCTCCATCTTTTAGGACGAGAGATGGGAGAGGCTGCGAACGCTGAAAGGGGTGAGAGGGTCCATGGCGAAGGGCCTTCTGGGAGCTTCGCGACCCAGAATCTCCGCGTGTCTGGCCAGGCCGTGCTGCGGGGTCGGGCTCTCGGCCTCGCTTTAATTGCTCTTGGACGACGTCCATGGCACCCGCAGCGCGCAGGGCACCCCTCGGTGGGTCTGAAACTAGGTTAAAGCAATTAGCATGCTGCCGACATATTGTCCTTCGGCAAGGCCGTGGGTACCAGGGGAGATTGGTGATTGTACGTAGGCTGGCCAGCCCGCTGCCGGGCGGCGCAGCGGCACTTCGCCTGGGCTGGGCCTGCGCGCCGCGTGGTCAGCGGTTCCACCAGGAGGTGCACGCCTCGAGCGCGCGTCCCGCACCGCGCCTCCCCTTCCGCGGCCCCAGTGTCCGAGCGCGCGCCGACCCCGCACTCAGCCTGCGCGCCCCTGCTCCCGCCCACAACTGGGGGCGCCCGGAGGGTCAGGGAGGCGCGGAGTAGCAAGGGAGGAAACTAGCCCGAGCCCCGGCTTCCTGGGCTTTCCCGGCCGCGCCCTCGCGCCTCTCCCCTTCGCTAGGGGGCGGCCCTGCGCCCTCCGCCCGAGGCTCGCCTTCTCCTCAGGCTACTTGCCAAGGAGAACAAGATTCTGTCGGAGACCAAACGAAGTCAGTTTTAGAACTAACCCAGTTGCAGAAGAGGCAGAGAGCCCTTCTCGCCTTACCTAAAATACCCTCGGTGTTGTTGGGAGGCATCGGAGGGGTCTCCCGGCCTCAGCACTGTCTCCTGCCTTGTCTCTTGAGAGAGGTACATCTGAGTTCCTTGTACCTGATGCCGTAACTGTAGAGGGGATGAGTCACAGGGCCCCAGGCCGTAGAAGCAGAAAGGCCCCTTCCCATTGCCAGCCCGGAAACTAGCTCCCTGTTGCCACCGGACACAGCGCGTTCCCTTTATAATTAAGCAGAGTGTGGTTGACCTTCGGTAAGTCAAACATCCTCTCTGAGCCTTTAGCTTTTCCCTCTGAAAAATGGGAATAATAAATACTCCATGACCTATTTGCTTCATAGGGTGTTTGGAGAGTAGACTAAAAATACAGGCGAAAGTTACTATTTAGGGCATCGATGCGGATGAAGGCTCTTAGAGAGGTGAGGCCTAACCTCTAACCCACTCCCTTTCAGCTAAATTTAACTAAAATGTGGTTCTTACTGGATAGCTACGTTTTGAGTCTCTAGTTCAGTTATTTTTTTACAAAGTAAGTTAATTCTTCTTTTTAAAGATATAGCCACCCCCCATCATGTATTAAACAAATAACTTTTAGAAAAAGGTGTAAATAGTATTTATTAACATCACTTAGAAATAAAACATATCTGGCAATAAATTAGCGTGAAGTTTTCCGGCCAGAGTTCTTCCAACAACGCAGAGTTCTTCCAAAGGTGCTGGGGGAATCATAGGCTATTGCATATTTTTAGAAAATCAGGATAAATTATATAAATTATATATTTAAAAAGAGATCATGTATTTCATTAACTCGACAGGATAATAAATAGATAAATAACAAACAATTGATTGCCATTAGAACAATGCGATTCTTAAGTTACATTTACATTATAGATATTTACATGTACAATATGCACAGACACAATCAGATCCTTGGGCGGGTCTGGGCTTCTCAGGACAGAAACTCAAAGGGCGGTTCGTTTTCTATGTTGTTGAAGGAAGATTTGCTGTTGAGTTTTCTGGGGTCCTCTGGGGTCCACACTTTGGCTGTTCGGATAATATTTTGTTCCTTGAGTTGTTTTTCATCAGTCCAAGAGAGAGAGTGTCCTGCAAGAGGAGGGAGGCCGTAATCCGGGTCGCTGGGGGAGGGGGACCCTGAGGAGGTGAGAAGAGAAAACAAGACTGTGAACGTCCAACTCTACTCCCGGCCATGCCCTCCGGTCCTTTAGGATCCCCTCTTGGGCGCCTGGACAGAACAGGCGTCGTAGGTTACATTAGAACAACCCTCTTCCTCCACCTCTCAAGCCCCCAGCGCCCCCTCCCCGGAATCCCAGGAGCTGCAAGACTGTCGGGGACGCGCGCCCTCCGAGCCGCGGTCCAAGTGGTGGAAAAAACCTGAGAAACGCCAGCTCGCGCTCAAGATCGCCGGTGCCCAGGGACCATCTGTCTGTCCGTCAGTCGGCTTGTCGGACTGTTCGCCCAGCCCCTCCGGGCCCTTCCCATGCCCGTCCCCGTCTCCCTGAGCTGGGATGCGGCCGCACTTACGGGTGCCCCGATGGCAGATGATGACCTTCTGGGCCTGGCTGCCCGGGCTGTCCCCGCCCAGGCGCCCGCCGCCGCCCGGCCCCCCGCCGCCGCCCGCGCCGCCGCCGCGCAAGGGCAGGTCGGCCTGCACGAGCTCGCTGAGGAAGTTGATGTAGCCGATGGCCAGGCGCAGCGTGTCCACCTTGGAGAGGCGCTTCTCGTAGGGCAGCGTGGGGATGTGCGAGCGCAGCCCCTCGAAGGCGTCGTTGATGGACTGCATGCGCCGCCGCTCGCGCACGTTGGCCGCCTGGCGCAGCTGCTGCAGCTCGGCCTCGGAGCGCACC